CAAATTGATGGGAGGTGACCATGGTGATGATAGGTGTGTTCGGGTGAATTGTTTTTTAGAAGCTGGAAACCTATGTTTAGGCATGTTTCCACTAAGGATCGAAAGAATGGGAAATGCATAGTGTGAGATAGGATAAGAATTATTAATATACAATTTATTGTAAAATTTTCATTTTTAATCTATTCTGTTTCGTTATTCCAATTACCAAGTATAAATTATCGTTTGGTCGAGACGAAATAAGTTCCACATTATCAATGTTAAATGTCAATCATCCAAACCCAAGTCTAACTCAGCATTGATGTAACTATAAATATGAATTAATGATGACATGTTTGTAAATATCTTGAAAAAAGTCAAAATTATCAGCTTTTGTAACTGTACTTTAGGTAATCAATTGATAAAAAACTTCTGTCTTCAATTCCATGTATCACCACAATATGTCTTTTTGAATCCCCTGATCTTTGTCAGGGGCTGGAACTAAACTACCGTATTCGACGTAATAAGCGCCCCGCTCTAATAAGTGCCCACGGCGATATTTGCCAATATATTGGCTAGTGAACAACAATCCCAATTACCACCCTTCCGACTGATCAATGTACACAATTCCTGTACATTTATTCATGTATAATACGCACTCGTGTGTTAAATGCAACCTTAATTACGGGCAATTAAATTCTGTAAAATATATCTGTCGTGTATAATACGCACATACTATTCTTTTGTATCATTTCAGGCTGTCAGCAGAAACCATAAAATTTACGATCTTTCAACTCTTTCACCAAAATGATATTCTAATAAGAGCCCCTTATTTCTAATTTTGAGAGTGCCCCGGGCGCTTATTACGTCGAATACAGTAATCTATTTTAGCGATAAACTAATGTATTCTTGTATCGTCACATTTGTTAACTGTATTGAGAAGACAGAGTGAGTTTTATTGTGTTGGGTATATTTAGTAGAATGTGAAACCATTGTTTGGTTAACGTTCTGAGAAAATAACTATTCTAACAGTCCCCAGCTGCAAGCATGTTTCCAATCACATTCTCTCAGGTATATCACATGATTAAATTGTTTGTATTCTGTGTACTAGTGTGTGTGACATAGTTTGGAAACACGATATCGTATACAGGAATGTGTAATAGTGATCCAAATTTTTGTGTCAACCGATTTCATTTTGTAAAGTAATTTTTTTTATTTTGCATTCTTCAAACACATGTACTTGAAGTTGGACTCATGAAAAGTTATTCAATGTTCAGTTAAATTGTGTTTATATTGTTTTTGAGGATTGTCTTCTGTTAATTTTGCTGGAGAATTGTATATTTTGGTCTAATCTGTCCAATGAAAGATTGAAATGACTTGCTCCTTCCGTAGCGAAGTTTTTGTCCCTGATCGATTTTGAAGTTTGAAATAACTGGCGTGAAGTCATGGATTATTGTTTGCGTGCATTCTTTAGTTGATTAAATTGATGCAAGGATTGTATGTGCAATAACTGTATCTGTTTAATAGTCTTCGATAGATAGACATTGACATCCATATGCTTTCTGGAACTTCTCTGATAGAAATTTGTCACATGAATGACCATACCAACCCCAATCTGTTCATACAGAAACAGATGGTATTTAATTGACATTCATCTTGTTTCAAGTCAGTTTATGGGTCAACTGTTAATATATGCTCTGATTTGAAAACAAGACAATTAGTAAATAGAAATTAGAGTTTGTGGTCTCGTTAAGGTTTGCACCTGTATGGGATTGCAATATCCATGTCTGCTCTTTTAAAATTTCCTCATAAAAAAGCGAAAGTCTATTATATTTTTTGCAAATTGAATTCCTTGTGGAATCTCTTAGATACAGGCTCAGCTGGTCTGGTACCAGTGGGTTTACCAAAGACGGAAATGTCTGTCATCTGTATCATGTCAGCTATCCTTTCGCTTGATTTGTTTGTTTGTTGTTTAACGCCGCACTCAGCAGTATTCCAGCTATATGATGGCGGTCTGTAAATAATCGAGTCTGGACCAGACAATCCAGTGATTGACATCATGAGCATCGATCTACACAATTGGGATCGAGGACATGCATCAATCAAGTCAGCGAGCCTGACCACCCGATCCCGTTAGTCACCTCTTATGACAAGCATGGGTTGCTGAAGACCTATTCTACCCCGAGAACTTCATGGGGTCCTTTTGCTTGAACTCAGAGGTAGTGATGGAACCACAGGAATTGGACGTTCTCTCTGAACATAAGCTACTGTAGTTTATGGGAGAGGGTGTTTGACAGCAGAGTTTCATTTTCATATTAGAATTTTGAAAAGCTGGATCTTGATGCAATATAGACAATGGTCATTGAAGTAAGGCTTGGGGAAAGACTTATTTTAACAGAGCAGACATGTTAGATTTACTGCATTGATATACATCGTCATTTTATTGAACTGTGGTTGTATGATAAGTCATTTGTTTTACTCGTCTTATCGCCAGCCATTATACTAGTTACACTGATCAACTGTGTTCTGTTTTTCTTGTCAAGATATACATGGTTCAACTGCTGAAATGGATACATTTTCTTTGGTGAATAATAAATAAATATCAGTGCTGTCAGCCACTTTTGTTAAGTGGCTGTGCAATCTAATTAAAATCAGATCTTAGTCCTTGCTATCACTAAAAAAAGATCTGAGGACATCCCATTAAGGGTCATGACATGCATCAACCAAGGCAGCAAGTCTGACCACCTGTTCCTGTTAGTCGCCAGTTGAAAGCAATACAACCCATGCAAATACACTCTCTCCCCCCAAAAGGGATACTCTGAAATAACTTCAAATTATAAGAGATTAAATTGCAAGAGAGATTAGTTTCTGGTAATAGTTAATTTACAACGGGTTGTGTTATGGCAATAGGGGTAAGATGGGAAATTTCTAATTTGCTGTTTTTTGATCAACAGCCATGATTTGATGAACATTCACTAATTTAACAAGTCTCCTAATTAGGGAATCTAATCTGTGCTGTTCCTCTTGCCGACATGGTTGGCGGCCAGTGACGTTGATGCACACGGTTCCCTGTCTGGTCTCATAAGTGTTTCATGGGGGGAAAGGTTTGGGCTCATTGATGGCCATGTTGTGCTGCTGGAGATGATCATTGACAATTTGTGCAAGACGAGCATGGGCCTTGCAAGTGGGACAATAAAGGGTGTCGTTAGGTTGTCCTGATAGTCCCTTCCTTACACAATATCAAGTGGGCTTCGCTCAGTGATGCCACCCCACACAATAACCAATCCATCTCCAAATGTGTGGAGAGGTCCCAGGCTGACATTGGCTTGATGTTCATTTCAACATCGCCAGACACAACCTCCCCTGTGTAAGGGACCTGTGAAGAACAGGGGTGTGAAACAGTGAACAGGTCGGATGACTTCTGCCAGTTTCCAGCATGCCAATAGTCTGTAGATGCTGTGTGTGTTGCATACACTGCATTGGTGGTTCAAGGCTCCACAGAGATTGGGAGCCCTGTTGGCCCAGTCGTCAAAGGCGGCGAGTCGTTGTGCAGGGTTGTGTCCCTTGGGCACGCCAGAAACCATTGATTGTGGGTTTGAATCCAGATTATGTTTCTAGGTTTGTCAGCACTATACCCGTGCTCATGGGTTTCACCGAAGTGGTAAACGTCGGAGACCTGCAACACTTTCCTCCCACATTAAGCTGACAGGGCCATGATTTAACTGGAATACTGTTAAAAGCGGCATTAAACCCAACTCTCTCACTCATTCCACAGAGACCTTCCTTGAAAGTGTCAAAATCTGGAACAAAGACATTTCATGATCCCCCCTACTTTTTAAAAGGGTATATCATTTGGGGTCACAGTTCTTGTCAACTCTTCTGCAACTATTCCAGAAACACGACAGTCACCAAAAAATAATCAAGCAAACTAACTAGTGTCTAAAACCCACCCAATCCACAAAGTCACAGTCTGGCCACCCAATCCACTTAGTCACCGAGTCTGACCACCCAATCAATTAAGTCGCCTCCAATGACAAGCATTGGTTGGTGGGTGGGTGCCAATTCAACTGTACGAGGGGTACTCGTTTGTTGGGTTTGCTTGCTTATCTGTTGCAATAGAAGTGAAACTGTCAATGTCAGATTATATTCACAAGTTTTCACCAGTACAATGAACAAAAAACAAATGTTTGTTTTGGGTTGTTTATTTTGCTCTGAACATGTTTTGTCACATTTCCACTGGTTATATTGACTTCAAATATCAGTAGTGCAATCACTTGAAATCACTTCTCTATTTATGTTGAGGCTCAGGCCAGACCAATAATAAATTATTTTTTTTGAAGGAGTTGGATTTCAATTTCTAAATAGAAAAGAATATAACAAAATGCCCTGATTTGACATTAGCTGGGAAGAATCATTAGCTTGCAAACTCCATGAACAGGCCACAGTACTATTAATGATTCTGCTTATGACTACACTCATTGAAATGTGTGGTTGACTGTTGTTCAACACTGCACAGCAGTCGACTTTGTTCCTTAACGCCACACCCCAGTGATTGACACCATGAGCATTGATCTACACAAATGGGATACGATGACATGCATCAACCAAGTCAGCAAGCCTGACCACCTGATCCCATTAGTTGCCTGTTACGGCAAACATGGGTTGTTGAAGACCTATTCTACCCAGATCTTCACAGGTCCACAGCAGTCTGCAAGTAATCGAGTCTGGACCAGACAATCCAGTGATCGACATCATGAGCATCGATCCACGCAATTGGGACACCATGACATGCATCAACCAGTCAGCAAGCCTGACCACCCGGTCCTAACTAATCACCCCTTACAACAAGCATAGTCGCCTGTTACAGCAAGCATGAACTGATGCAGATCTGTTTTTAACCTGGATCAGTCCAGAACTTCTTGTCAATGAGATAAAATCACTTGCGTCTCACAGACACCGGAAGCATTTCAGTACTGTGACCTATTACACACATGTAACTCTTTGATATCATATTTTGGTTCAAATTTTGAAAGATATCTTGGAGACATTTTTTGCAAGACAATCAATTAATGTCCTTGAAGATGAACTGAAGGAAAACTGATCTGGCCGTATCGTCTTCAATGAAGAATACATGTTTATCTATTATAACACAACCACCACATGAACTGCATTTGTACCCAAAGTAGACACTCTCTCGGGATAACAACGTCTTTATGATACCATTGCGACATTTCAGTATAGATCCTTATACGTTTTCTTGCTATACCAAAACATTGTTATTAGAGTAAACTAAAGAACTAAGAACTAAAGAACTAAAGAAGTTGTTATCCCTAAATTGTGTCTACTTTGTCATCCGTCTACTTCTAAGAAATGCCTATCAAACAATGCACTAAGTATCAGTGAGGCAGACTGACGCCGGCATGGACAACGTTCAGTAGACGCATCTCAATTAACACCATCCCCAACTGTTAACATATGGTATAGAGTATAACAACTACCCTTGGATAAATAGCACCTTTAACACTACCAGCTAAACAGCTGCACGTATTACATTACTGATAATCCATAGCTAGCACTGTCTGAAGTGATGCAGGTCTTAGCCATCACCACGGGTATGATGCTGACAAACCTAGAAACATAATCGGGATTAAAAACTATGATAGATCTCTGGCACGACTACAGATACAACTCTGCGCAGCAAATTGTGGCGTCTAAGTCGATGAAAAATATAACTGGAAAGACTTGCTTTCAAGAATATAAATTAAGCTGAAAAGTTATCTTGGCTCCTCAAGAAGAAATTTCCCCATAAATTGAAAAGAAAAAAAGAGAAAAAAGCTGTTCCAAGCCTAAAATAAAATTCCCATCCATGCACATAGTGATTTTACTTCACACAACTCAAACATTTGATCACAGATAGAAAACACACTGATTATCTGATAAATGTATCAATGTCTACCACCTTACGAAACCTCTGTAACAAACATAGTTCATCATGGATTGTATTCACTGATTCAAATGTTCAAACTGATTCATGCTGCCATTGCATCGAAGAAGTGGAAGAAGTCATAAAGAACTCATCACCAACATCAACTATGGACACAAGTATTGATGTTTCAAGTTTGTCATTGCACGGAGAAAGGGACGGTAACAACCATTAGTCCCAAGCCCAATGAAATCTGGAGGACTTGGCCTTGTCTATCACTGATGAGGCTTGACTCGCCCTCTCGTCTTGTCGGTCATACATCCACACATGCACCTGCAACAGAAGAAAACATGTAACTATTTGCCTGGAGGCAGTTGAGTAAGCTGGTGTTTCATGCTGCAGAAGTAAAGCTTCATCCATCATCTGTAACCTGAGCCATGCCATACACACCAGAAGCCAGGTCACAGTGTAACGCCAAGTCAGATACACACAATGGTAGGACACCCACACACAATCTATCTCATATCTCAACTCGGGTACACACAACGGTGCAATGACACCTGCACACAATCTAGATTATGTCTCCCCAACTCGGGTACACACAATGGTACAATGCCACCCACACACAATCTATCTCATATCTCAACTCGGATACACACAACGGTGCAATGACACCTGCACACAATCTAGAGTATGTCTCCCCAACTCGGGTACACACAATGGTACAATGCCACCTACACACAATCTAGCTCATGTCTCAACTCGGATACACACAACGGTGCAATGACACCTGCACACAATCTAGATTATGTCTCCCCAACTCGGGTACACACAATGGTACAATGCCACCCACACACAATCTAGCTCATGTCTCAACTCGGATACACACAACGGTGCAATGACACCTGCACACAATCTAGATTATGTCTCCCCAACTCGGGTACACACAATGGTACAATGCCACCTACACACAATCTAGCTCATATCTCAACTCAGATACACACAAATGGTATAATGCCACCTACACACAATCTAGCTCATATCTCAACTCAGATACACACAAATGGTATAATGACACCCACACACAATCTAGCTCATGTCTCAACTCGGATACACACAACGGTGCAATGACACCTGCACACAATCTAGATTATGTCTCCCCAACTCGGGTACACCCAATGGTACAATGCCACCTACACACAATCTAGCTCATGTCTCAACAACTCGGGTACACACAATGGTACAATGCCACCTACACACAAGCTAGCTCATGTCTCAACAACTCGGGTACACCCAATGGTACAATGCCACCTACACACAATCTAGCTCATATGTCAACTCGGGTACACACAATGGTACAATGACACCTACACACAATCTAGCTCATGTCTCAACAACTCGGGTACACACGATGGTACAATGACACCTACACACAATCTAGCTCATGTCTCAACAACTCGGGTACACACAATGGTACAATGACACCTACACACAATCTAGCTCATGTCTCAACAACTCGGGTACACACAATGGTACAATGACACCTACACACAATCTAGCTCATATGTCAACTCGGGTATACACAATGGTGCAATGCCACCTACAAACAAGCTAGCTCATGTCTCAACAACTCGGGTACACACAATGGTACAATGCCACCTACACACAATTTAGCTCATGTCTCGCCAACTCAGATACACACAAATGGTACAATGCCACCTACACACAATCTAGCTCATGTCTCGCCACTCTGGGCTTCAGTCGGCTGTGACGACGTCTCCTCCACCTGCTTTGTGTAATATCCATCATCAGTCTCCAACACTTTGAATGTCTTGCTTTCCATCACAGGATCTTTAGCTTTGGACTTCCTTTTCTTCTGATCCGCTGACTTGCCTGGAAACAATCCGTCAATATACCAGAGTCCTGACCATGTGTTTTTAGGTTTCTAGACTGCACTGACTAATGATGGGAGATAATAAATTCTGAGTTTTACTACACACCTGCACTATTGTGAAAAAATAACAAATAAATAAGGTGAGGTGAAATGGGGTTTAACATTGCGTCCAAGATTATTGCACTTATATAGCGACGTGCATGCGTGTGTGTGCTTGTACTAGTCCGGACTGATGCCGATTTATAGTGCTAGCTCACTGAGGTACCATGCTGCAGTTTAACATGAATACCCAACTCAGACACAGTATACTGACTCCGAGCCGACCAGTCCTTCTTTTAGTCCCTTAATGCCGAGCGCCAGACAGGGTAACAACAAGTACCATCTTTAATGTCTTTTGTAATGACGCGACCGGGGATAGAACCGCCAGACCTTCCGTTCTCCGGGCGGACGCTCTACCACTAGACCACGGAGGCGGTCTGGTTTGCTCACGACACGGTCCACTGTGTCAGCTCTGTAGGTGACCCGTGAAGATACGGGGTGGAACACGTCTTCAGCAACCCATGCTTGCTGTAAGAGGCGACCAACGGTATCGGGTGGTCAGGCTCACTGACTTGGTAGATGCATGTCATCATATCCCAAATGCGTGGATCAATGCTCATGTCAGTCACTCGATTGTCAGGTCCAGACTCGATTATTTACAGACCGCCATCATATTGCTAAGTGCGGTTTTAAACAACAAACAAACTATAGTTTTCATTTGTTGTTTGACTCCACTCTCAGCAATATGACACCGGCCTGTAAACAATCGAACTCTTGACGGGACCAGACCAGACAATCCAGTGATAGATGTGAGCAACTTTTATCCACCAAGCCTGATACCGATCCAGTTGGTTGCCTCTTACGACCAGCATAGGTTTCTGGGGGCTAATTATAACATGAATAACTATGCTTAAAAAAGAATGGGAACCGACGTGCGTATATAATGCCACAGAATTCCTACAGAGGGCTTAAAGACATTAAGCACAGGGTGCTAGGGTACAAATCTAACCCAGGATAGTCTCTTACAGCAAGGATGAGGAAATAATGCCCAAGACTTCCTATAGAGCCAAGAGACAAAACTGAAGCAAAAACAAAGAGAGAGCCAAGCCCTCTGACGGACGGACGTACACTGTCAGCAGCTCACCTTTCATCACTTCAAACTTTCGGACGAGATCCGATCTGTCCAGCAGATTCTCCAGATCTTTATTAGAAATGACATTCTTCTCACTACCCTGCACAATCGCTTCGTGATCTCGCGACCTCAACAACTCCAGAAGCTCCGGGGCACTGATCGGCTTCAGGCTTGTGCTGAACTCGTTCATACCTGTCTTGAACTTCCCTGTATAAAAAGACCAGACACTAGAGCATTGTACGCACGGACATAATAAACAAGAGACAGTATGTGTTGATGATTAGTGCTGGGTATTGGTCTGTCGTTCACAGTAGTCCTCAATATTCCTGCTATAAACTGGCACGCTATAACCAAGCAACTATATATCCAACTATTGACATAACTTCTTTGAGTGGCATTTAGAAGTTGGAATGGTAACTAAGTCAAAATTGTTATGGATGATCATTTGCTTGATAACGGTGCTAGAATCTACACCTAAACGTTGCCCAATTGTAATAAAGAAGTTGCTCATCCATAACAATTTTGACTTAGCAATTATTGACATATTGCAACTGTTTGCCCTAAAACTGTACAATATCTATAGGAATTATAAATAGCCAATGGTATTGTCGGTAGTAGCGGGATGATACACTGATGCATCGCAATTATTTTAAATCTCAATACAAGTATCCATCACAGTTGCACACTAAGTAAAGAGAATCGATTCTTATCTTCAATGTATTCTTTATTAAATTTTACACTAAACACTAATTACTAGTGAAAATGAGTAGTGAAACCGTAAATATTTTCATCTATTGCGCCATACTTGACACTGCCAACAGTATATTGTTTGTGTGCCAGGTATTTGGCCATCCTCTCTATGAAAAAGATGGCTTACGCACCACATATAAGAGCACATGCGAGTATTGTGATATGTATCTGATCGCACAGTTGGGGTATCGTCCAAGCCCTAATTGTCAGTAGTATGTATAACAATCAATAGTTTCAATAGTCTCAAGTAGTTATAAATAAAACACCAGGAAACTGTTTTTACAGTAACATTTCAAACGTGCCTGTGTGGTTGTTTAGCAAGGATTATGACAAACTCAGATATACTACAGTAAATCTGTCATGGCATCACAATTAAATAAAGTAATATAAAAGAATCGGGTGGTCCTGACTTGTTGTTAGTAGTATGTGTTCATGTGCAGATGTAGTTGCCATTATTTCTCCGTCAGTCTATCACACACCTGACTGACCACTGGTCGAACATGCTGAACTACTCCCGGACATTGGGCAAGTGACATCTTCCCAGGCGAGGGACTGAACTGACTGTTAAAGTCCAGTTTCCACCCTTGCCAAACTTGTCTGGAATTTCCACGCTCGAGTTGTGTCCTATGTCCCTATTATATCACTTGCATTTGCTTCAAACAAAATGGCAACGCCCAGTCAAGACGAACTGATCGATGATCAAGCTTTATACTGTACTTACCTCACTAAGTGCATCAAATCACGTGAGCACTTTGATTAAAAATATGAAAAGATTTGGAAAATATCTGTCGACACCCAGTTGACGGTACACATCCTTTGCAAATCCTTTGTGTATGATGAGGTCCTACCTTTGTGTATGAGGTCCTACCTTTGTGTATGATGAGGTCCTATGTGTATGATGAGGTCCTACCTTTGTGTATGATGAGGTCCTACCTTTGTGTATGAAGAGATCCTATGTGTATGATGAGGTCCTACCTATGTGTATGATGAGGTCGTACCTTTGTGTATGATGAGGTCCTACCTATGTGTATGATGAGGTCGTACCTTTGTGTATGATGAGGTCCTACCTTTGTGTATGAGGTCCTACCTTTGTGTATGAAGAGATCCTATGTGTATGATGAGGTCCTACCTATGTGTATGATGAGGTCGTACCTTTGTGTATGATGAGGTCCTACCTATGTGTATGATGAGGTCGTACCTTTGTGTATGATGAGGTCCTACCTTTGTGTATGATGAGGTCGTACCTTTGTGTATGATGAGGTCCTACCTATGTGTATGATGAGGTCGTACCTTTGTGTATGATGAGGTCCTACCTATGTGTATGATGAGGTCCTACCTTTGTGTATGATGAGGTCGTACCTTTGTGTATGATGAGGTCCTACCTATGTGTATGATGAGGTCCTACCTTTGTGTATGATGAGTTTTTCAAGCTTCCTCTTGGCTGCTGCTCGTTCTACAATCCTCTGGTCGATGGTGTTGGCAGTCACGAACCTGTACACCAGCACCGGCCGGGTCTGACCGATGCGATGGCATCTGTCCTGGGCTTGCAGGTCACACTGGGGGTTCTGAGGAACAACACAGAGTGGACAATCAGGAATCTGTGATAGTGGCACAACTAATACATGGAAATAAGATACCCTTTCTTTCCAGGGAACAGCTAGTTTTGATGAGAAAGGACCATCGCTAGGCACTTCTTTGTCGTAAGATTAGGAGTAAAGCAGGATAAGTAAAAAATATCATGTCTGGTGATGCTTAATGGCAAATTTCACATTTTCATTTCAGTTTGTAATAGCGTTGTCCATTCACCTGAAGCGATACGCTGTAGTTTTTTTATGAACAGAAAGAGGTTGATGAAACCATAACCTTTACATAAGCCGACCCCTTTCTACAGAATCTTTTTTCTGGTCCTCAAAATTCAGCTTATCTACGGTCATATACGGTAGTTACTATTTCGACTACACACTTCAGATGATATGAGTGGAGTGTCTCAATTGGACTAATGCAAAAACAAAAAGAGACTTCATTCCAGTTTCATCAAGAAATATGCAACGGTTTTGGAGTTCTCCGGAAGAAATTTGGGCCCTAATACATATTGCAACATGTATCTTAATATAGTTCACCATATCGCGATATATGGCAATACTAGTTACATACCAACCCTAAAATTAGCCCTTGTGAATTTATTTATTTTCAGGATTGGCACTTTTGTATGAATTATTTAAGGAAGAAATCATATCTTCGTATTATCTTGAAAATTCATAAAAATACGAACAATCTTGGACAGTGGGCAGCTACACCCCGTAAATGATAATGTGTGGACCAGGCAACCCACTGATTCACAGTTTAAACAACGATCAGGGTTGACATACAGTCACACTGTCAGACCACCCAATGCCAGATCTTACAACAAGAGTGACATACTGGGAGCCTATTTTTAGTCATTGTTTAGTCATCAGCGTGAAATTATGTTTAACAGCCTTAAACATATTGTTCATAACATACCTGTTGATGTACACCTACTGTTATATGGCAATGCAGATCACGTTACAGAAAATGAAGCTATATTTAAGGCAGTACAACATGATATACATGTATGTACAACTAAAAGATTTGTGTAAAGAATCTCTCTTTGTCTGTCTCTCTTTGTCTGTCTCTCATTTTATGTCTCCTCTACAAGCATCAACCCAAGCATAACTACATTTTGCTTTTCCCTTGCATCATGCCTTGTCATAATAAATTATGAAAAGCCAAAAAGGAAACTGTCCTGCCCTCAAAGCAGAATAGCTCTCTCTCCTGCTGTATGCATACATATTGAATTTGAAATTGTGAAATTTTGTAAATACCAGGGAGAGGGCATTCTAAGTTGGAAGAACTTGTCCCTCAATCCCGTTCACTCCTTGTGAATAAATGTTTAAATCAAACCTATTCTGACTGAGGTGCAAAGTAAAAAGTCGATATCAGAACTTACCCAGTCACTGTCGTAAATGATGACAGTGTCGGCTGCTGTCAGGTTGATGCCAAGGCCGCCGGCCCTCGTGCTCACCAGGAACAAGAAGACATTGGGGTCCTCATTGAAGGTCTTGATCTGAAATCAGACGTCATGAAATAAATAAATATTGCATTCAAATTTGGTTAATAATGCACCACTGAGAAATATTCCAGCTGTATCCCAATTGCGTGGATCGATGCTCATGATGTCAATCACTGCATTGTCTGGTCCAGACTCAATTATTTACAGACTGCGGTCATGAAGCTGGAATATGGCTGAGCGCGCCGTTAAACAACAAACAAACTAACAATTATTCAGCTATATGATGGAAGCCTATAAATAATCAACAATAAAGACCAGTGATTGATATTATGAGCAATATCCCACACCACAGGGTACGATGACATGCAATAAACCAAGTCACCGATTCTGATCACCGGACCTATCAAGATGCCTTGTACACAAACACAGGTGCCTGGGGACCAATTCCAACCCAGATTCCCTCCTTCCTCAGAGGAAAATCAGGAAACAACTGACTACTGTTTGACAAACGATATACTCTTGGTAGGCAACAGGACAAGTGTTGCAGAAGAACAGATGCTAGCTAAATATAAAACATTCAAGTAAGTTTCACAACTTGATATTGCGAATATTCGTCCAAATTTTGTCTTTTAATTCTTAAAATAAAACTAGGGGACACATTTCTTATTATTAACAGGTTACTTACTGATCAGGGTGCTGTTCCACAAAGCGATCGTAGCGCTAAAACTGTCATAATCCTATGTAAAAGAATCGGGATAATGTTCGTCTTAACCCTACGATCGCACTGTGGAACAGGCCCCTGGATTAATGGTTTTTTGCTTGCTTTTTATTCCCATCATTTCAAATACAAAGTATACATGGAACATGTTACATTAAGATCAGCATGGTATATATTCAAATCGCCTTGTTGTACATTCAGTAGTTTGTTTCTCTAGTACATCTGGTAGATCTATATATAATGTTTCTATACAGAATAACAGACAAATTGTAATATATAATCATATCTTGGTATTCTTGAATAATGTGTGGAATGAAGACCAAAAAGAGAAATATTTAGCTTGTTTACAATTTGAGAAAGCAATAGATCTTGTAGCTTCATAATATTTAATTGTACAGGTGGACAAGTTCATTTGCTGAACTCAAAGATGTCAACCCTAATTGAAGCTTTGGAGTAATCAGTGGGGGAAAAAGAAGAATAATTTCATGTGAAAAAGAGTAATAATAACAGCAACATAATGGAGGTTTCCGCTTTGGCTCTTTCGTTAGACCTAGACGTCCGTGAAACACGTGCCAAAACTCTACACATTAATAAAATTTGGTAGCCAGTAATTTTGATAAGACAAACAGTATGAAAAACATTTTCATGACAGCATGAACCTTTATAGACATTCTTCTATACATTAACAAATTTAAAGAAAAGACAAAGAACCAATCTGACACATGCTGGCAGATCATTTTTGCAGACAAGTTTGATTTCTAATCCTGGTTGCAGAAGCTTAGACTCTAGGCCAGCCATGTGCATGGAGGCAACCATTACCTGTTCTCCTCGATCTTCTACAGACCGCGACCCATCTAGTCGGCAGTACTCATAGTTCCGTATCTCACAGTAGCTCTCCAGGATGTTCAACATCCTCGTCATCTGACTGAATATCAACACCTGTAGCAACACAATCAAATCTTTTGTGTAAATGACTCAAAGCGATGTGTCTACTAAATGTTGCTGGGGACCCATTTTAAGATGGAATCCCAACAGTGCTCGCCTTGTACAATCAGCAAAGGTTGCTAGGGACCCATTTTAAGACGGAATCCCACCAGTGCTCGTCTTGTACTATCAGCAAAGGTTGCTGGGGACCCATTTTAAGACGGAATCCCACCAGTGCTCGCCTTGTACTATCAGCAAAGGTTGCAGGGGACCCATTTTAACACGGAATCCCAACAGTGCTCGCCTTGTACAATCAGCAAAGGTTGCTGGGGACCCATTTTAAGACGGAATCCCACCAGTGCTCGCCTTGTACAATCAGCAAAGGTTGCAGGGGACCCATTTTAACACGGAATCCCAACAGTGCTCGCCTTGTACAATCAGCAAAGGTTGCTGGGGACCCATTTTAAGACGGAATCCCAACAGTGCTCGCCTTGTACAATCAGCAAAGGTTGCTGGGGACCCATTTTAACACGGAATCTCAACAGTGCTCGCCTTGTGCAATCAGCAAAAGTTGCAGGGGACCCATTTTAACACGTAATCCCAACAGTGCTCGCCTTGTACAATCAGCAAAGGTTGCAGGGGGACTATTACCCTTACCCTGTGCCCCTAATGGGCCCACCTCGTAGCACCAGGGGGCAAATTCTAACCCAGTCACATCCTACCTTATGTCCCCTCCTCTTCAACTCCGGCAGCAGCCTGTCGAGCATCAGCATCTTCCCCGAGTTTTTGACCAAGGTTTCGTCTGCTATCAGGTGACCTGAGGCTGCATCTATAGGATGCTCCAGGAGATAGGGGTGGCTGCAGCACTTGCGGAGCTGCATCATCGAGTTCTGCATCTTGATGTTGATCTCCGCCTTCTTCTCCTTGACTTTCTTCTTGTTTGCAGCGCTGGAACACACAACATCAATCTCATTCAAATCTGATCTTAGTTCTAACTACTGCTACAAAAAGATCTGAGGACATCCCATTACAGGTCACATCAAAATGATCTCTCATACGACTAATCAGAACATCACTTACAAGATCGTGAAACTTATGTGTTTTCAAAATAAGCAACATCCAAAGGTTGACACAGGGTAGCGAACACTAAGATCTGATTTTAATCAGACTTGGAAAATATATTAGGTACGCGTGCATTTTACACTATCCAATACCTACATAATACCTTGGACAAAGTGTAGAGGCAAGTATTATACAAGTTAAAAAAAATACAGAATATTCTGTGAATGTCATATGTTTCATATTGATCAGGGTATTAGGAACCAATGTGTGAAATCTTTGTATTTTCCAGGCAACAAAAAATTACATGCATTCTTACATTTTTTAGAGATGGGTATTGGAGGTGCATCACAATATTTTACAATGCACAAGGCTGTAAACTTCTGAATTCAGAAGCAATTTGAAACACCCGTGAATTGAAGTTCATAAACGGAACAAAACAAGATGCTGGTACAACATAAGGTTTACTAATTAAAACAATATGCAGGAATGCAGGTCCCGGATTCACGCTCTGAGTATTTGGCAAGTGCATAACATTAAACACATGATAAAAATCGCTATTCGAAATCACCCGAAATGCCAAGCATAACAAAATGATATTGTGATACATTACGTGAAAAGAGTGAAACTCAATTCACCAATATACCAGTAATACCCCACATTCTCAGACAAATGTTTCATGCAGTCATATACATGAATGTTATAATCTCTGTATTGTCCACACTTGCTAATCTAACAGTGTCTAAAATATTTAAAATATTGTCCTGAATCTAACGGGGTCACAATCATTCTTTGAGCCAGTGAGTATGGTTTTACAGCACTTTTAGCAATATTCCAGCAATATCACGGCGGGGGGACACCAGAAATGGGCTTCACACATTGTACCCATGCGGGAATCGAACACATGTCTTCGGGGTGACGAGCGATCACTTTAACCACTAGGCTACCACACCGCCCCTCATTCTCTGTTTGTTGTTTAACGCTGCACTCGGCGATATTACAGCAATATTACAGCGGTCTGTAAATAATCGAGTCTGGACCACACAATCTAGTGATTCACAACATGAGCATCAATCCACGTAATTGGGATCAGATGACATGCATCAACCAAGTCAGCGAGTCTGAACACCCGATCCTGTTAGTCGCCTCTTACAACAAGCATAGTCGCTTTTACATGGGTTGCCGAAGACCAATTCTTCCCCGGATCTTCACGGGTCCTAATGGACATTGAACAAAGCTGAACACATACCTCCTCTCCTCCTGGGCATCAATCACTGTATGTACCCAGGACTCCAGATCCTCCTCGTACGCAGCCTTCTTGTTCTTCTTGGGACCCTCGTCCTTTGGGTCCTCCACCATCATGTTATAGTTGATCTTATTCTTCGTCGACCGTCTCTTTGGCCGACCTCTAGCATCTGTCTCCACTGGTGCTGCATCTTCCTGTTGGGAATTTAAATTTTTTTGTTCACTTCCTCAAAACCTATAGCATAACGTTCCCTAAATGATCAAATAGCATTTTCCAAATGTGCAAGATACCCGTGAAGAACCGGGGAAGAACAGGTCTTCAGCAACCCATGCTTGCCGTAAAAGGCGACTATGCTTGTTGTAAGAGGCGACTAACGGGATCGGGTGGTCAGGCTCGCTGACTTGGTTGATGCATGTCATCGATCCCAATTGCATGGATCGATGTTCATGATATCAATCACTGGATTGTGTGGTCCAGACTCGATTATTTACAGACCGCCGTCATATAGCTGGAATATTGCTGAGTGCGGCGTTAAACAACAAACCTACCAAACAACCAATGAGCAAGTCCTTGTGCAAACAGCCGTGGCTGCAAATATTTGGTACTAATCATGAATGGGTTTTACTCAGGTTTTGTAATGTCTGTTTTATAGAGCTACCCCACTAAGATACTATGTCGCAGTTTAACATGAATACCCTACTCAGACACAGTATACTGACTGTGCCAACAAGTCCTTGTTTTATCCACATAAAGCACTAGGCAGGGTAACAACAAGTGCTATCTTCTAACATCTTTTCGTATGATGCGGAAGGGGGTTGAACCATCGACCTTCCTCCCTCTGGGTAAACGCTCTATTCACTCGACCGGAGGCGGTCTACAAGTTAAGTATGCAAGTCTACTCATTAAGTATTTTCAGATAAACCTGCATAATTTAGAAGAAAGCATGAATTGTGGTTTTCTGTCAGTTACAATGTAACCACCCAATCCTCAGGTCACTCTGTTCTTATGACAAGCCATATGTGCCAACCTTCCCAATTTACAATTGTGAGACATCAATATGTCTCTGATGTAGATTTTGCAAAATGCATGCTTTTGACTTTAATTCAACAAAATAAACATACATTCTTGTGAGGTGTTTACCCATATTGAGGATTACATCTGAAGGTATGTCCACCGCCGAACCGTCTGATACAGATACATTAAGGAATAATGCAGGATAACTAATGTTTTTTGGCATAATCTAAATATTTTTTACATTTGGATACTTATCCTGCATTTCTACGTCTAAGGGCCCACTTGTGGCAGACCTGCCTCCCCATTGTAGCTTCAGAAACTAAATTTATTACAGGTGGAGACAGTAACGTGGTGAGACGTGACGTCACTCTGGACGATCATGTCACAGCTGTGTGAGTGGTCCTCAGACAGCAATAGACAACCTTTTGGAAACAATCTTTTCTCTTCAGTTTACCATCGTAAGGCGCTGTCTCTCTCGAAAGGTAAGCAGTAAATACATTAAGGAGTAATGCAGGATAAGTTAAAATTTGGGACAGTAGGCAGCTATACAGGCCTGCGATGCAAAGAATCGCTTCTGAACTGGAAACCCAACAGGGGTGAGTGAGTGAGTTTGGTTTTACGCCACTTTTAGCAATATTCCAGCAATATCACAGCAGGGGCAACCAGAAATGGGCTTTACACATCATACTCATGTCGTGAATCGAACCTGGGTCTTTGGCGTGAAACCCTACAGGGAACAGGGTTACTATACAAACATCCCATTAAACACCTACATATTTCATCTGTATCTTGTCCATGATGGTCTTGTCCACGATGCTGGAGTAGTAGTCCTTCTGCATCGTGGTGAGCGGCGCTATCACCATCACTTCCCTCTTCGGAGGAATAAGCAGCTCAACGTCGGACTTGAGACGACGCAACATGAATGGAGTCAGAATCTGACAACAACAAAAGGTCACAAATGACTTGTTTGTGTTTCGGTATATTGGGTAAAAGAAACAGAAAAAGTTCTGTATTTATTTGTATCTTTTGACCTAAAATCTGCACAGAAATTCATTCACAAATAATGTTTCCCCTCGAAATCGGTTGACATATTCCTGTATCGCAATACAATTTTGTTGCCCTACTAATGACACACAAAAGATATATACTAGAAAGGTGTTTGCATAAAATTGACATTTTATGCCTTTTCACACAATAAACCTGCATATAAATACAGACAGCCAACATATTGATCTACAAAAAATAGTTGCTGATGACCAATCAGAAATGCAATTGTTTGACGTTCTTGACAAAAAAAAGATAAAAGTACTGTAATTAAAATGATTATCAAATCTTACAGTACCAAATACCCCCTATTATACGACCCCCTGTAGAAATCTTCAAAACTGATGTCAACTTACATACCCTGTCTATACTGAATATACACCGTCTATACTGAATATACCCTGTCTATCCGAATATACCCTGTCTAAACTGAATATACCCTGTCTATACTGAATATATCGTCTATACTGAATATACCCTGTCTAAACTGAATATACCGTCTAAACTGAATATACCCTGTCTATACTGAATATACCCTGTCTATACTGAATATACCGTGTCTATACTGAATATACCGTCTATACTGAATATACCGTCTAAACTGAATATACCCTGTCTATACCATCTATACTGAATATACCCTGTCTAAACTGAATATACTCTGTCTAAACTGAATATACCCTGTGTATACTGAATATACCGTCTATACTGAATATACCCTGTCTAAACTGAATATACCCTGTCTAACTGAATATACCCTGTCTAACTGAATATACCCTGACTATACTGAATATACCATCTATCCTGAATATACCCTGTCTATGCTGAATATACCATCTTAACTGAATATACACTGTCTATACTGAATATACTGTCTATACTGAATATACCCTGTCTAAACTGAATATACCCTGTCTAAACTGAATATACCCTGTCTATACTGAATATACCGTCTAAACTGAATATACCCTGTGTATACTGAATATACCGTCTATACTGAATATACCGTCTAAATTGAATATACCCTGTCTTAACTGAATATACCCTGTCTATACTGAATATACCGTCTATACTGAATATACCCTGTCTATACTGAATATACCGTCTTAACTGAATATACCATGTCTATACTGAATATACCGTCTATACTGAATATACCTTGTCTAAACTGAATATACTCTGTCTAAACTGAATATACCGTCTATACTGAATATACCCTGTCTAAACTGAATATACCGTCTATACTGAATATACCCTGTCTAAACTGAATATACCCTGTCTATACTGAATATACCGTCTATACTGAATATACACTGTCTATACTGAATATACACTGTCTATACTGTGATCCAGACTGAAGCCTGTATAATTTGATGATTCGTCTTATGAAAAGCTCTAGCACATGGCGCCAGTTTCTTTACCAGGTGCAAACTCAGATAGCTGCCGATAAAATTCAGTGAGGCAATTTGTTTGGTTTTTAGTGAGACAATGGGAGTTAGATAGTTAGGTGAAGCTTTTTGCTGTAGCTAACCTGATGCAGCATGGAGATGATGTTGCCTTTTTGTTCTTCGGCTACAATTCTCTCGTCAGCAGCATCTCCTTCAATACCCGCAACATCAAACCAGGCTTCAAAACTGTTAACGAGAAACAGTATTTTTCAACGGTCCATTTTATCAACTTTTTCTAAGTTTTAAGTTGAACTAAAAAACAAAATGAATTCACTGGGTCAAAACAACTTCAAGCAATTAGGTCATGATATTGTTCTTTAACACCGTACTCTGCCATATTACAGCCATGTGGTGGCAGCCTATAAAATAGTCAAATCTTGACCAGACAATCCAGTGATCGAGATTGTGAGCAACCATCCACAGCGAATTCTTATCCACACCCAGAGTGAGCGAGTGAGTCAGTGGTTTTACACTGCTTTAAGCACAATTCCAGCAAGACATCCCAGACATTGGTATTCCTACAAATGAACACTGAATTACAGTCAACTCAGTAAAGTGATTTCCTCACCTTCCTAAATCGTCAAATATTTCCGGTAACAGAAAGTTGAGCAGAGACCAGAGTTCTGCCAGGTTGTTCTGCAATGGCGTTCCAGTGAGCAGCAGTCGATGTGTTGTTTTGTACAAACGCAGTTCCCTGAAACAGTGCAAAACAACGCATTTAGTGAATGAGTGAGTTGGGTTTAACGCCGCTTTTAACAGTATTCCAGTTACATTGCGGAGTGTCAGCTTACCCATGAGCAAGGTATGGTGCTGACAAACCTAGAAACATAATTGGGGCGAACTGGGATTCAAACCCACAGTCATAGGTTTTTGGCATGCCCAAGGGATGCAACTCTGCAAACGAATCGCAACGCCTTAGACAACTGGGTCACCCGTGCCCCCAAATTGAGAAAAGTGGAGGCATAAAACACATGCCAACATCCAGGAGGTAAGATTTGAAAACATGCAAACAAAACGTCTTGTGCCTGCGGAGGAAACCATAAATAATCGAATCTGGATTAGACAAACCAGTGATTGATATCATGAGCATCGATCCACGCAATAGGGATATGACATGCATCATCCAAGTCAACGAGACTGACCATCCAATCCCGTTAGTTGCCTCTTACGACATGCATGGGCTACTGAAAACCTATTCTAACCCAGATCTTCACAGGTTCGGCCTGGTAGGGTCCAGACAATCCAGTGATTGACACTTTGAGCAACAATCGACAGTGGAAATACAATGACACAGTATCAACCAAGTCACCTCTTACAACCAACATAGGTTCTCACAACATCCACAAGCACAACCTATTTCCAAATCATAGCTTCTTACCTAATGTGCCTGCGGAGGAAACCATGCCTCAGGAACTGCGAATGTTTGAATCTTATCTAACACATCATTCAGCAATATTCCAGCAATATGATGGTGGCCTGGTAGATTTTTTGTTTGTTGTTTAACACCGCTCACAGCAATATTCCAGCTATATGACGGCGGTCTGTAAATAATCAAATCTGGATCAGACAAACCAGTGATTGATATCATGAGCATCGATCCACGCAATAGGGATATGACATGCATCATCCAAGTCAACGAGACTGACCATCCAATCCCGATAGTTGCCTCTTACGACATGCATGGGCTACTGAAAACCTATTCTAACCCAGATCTTAACAGGTTCGGCCTGGTAGGGTCCAGACAATCCAGTGATTGACACTTTGAGCAACAATCGACAGTGGAAATACAATGACACAGTATCAACCAAGTCACCTCTTACAACCAACATAGGTTCTCACAACATCCACAAGCACAACCTATTTCCAAATCATAGCTTCGTACCTAATAAGTCGACAATGTGAGTTCTTTAAGCGATGACCTTCATCTACAATGAGGTACTTCCAGTCAAAGTGCTGCATGAAAGTCCTATCATTCATGGCTATCTCATAGGAAGTGATAATAACAGGTTGGACTTCCACGTTCGTCTTGATCTTATGCTTCACCCGCATCTTATTCCGTAGAGTCCGCCTTTCATCTTTGGTGCCATGATACAATATGACCGGTACCTGAAAGACAAAGTGGATTTTTGGACAGTCTAGAAAACAAATCTCAAAGTTTGAGTGAGTGAGTGAGTGAGTGAGTGAGTGAGTGAGTGAGTGAGTGAGTGAGTGAGTGAGTGAGTGAGTGAGTGAGTGAGTGAGTGAGTGAGTGAGTGAGTGAGTGAGTGAGTGAGTGAGTGAGTGAGTGAGTGAGTGAGTGAGTGAGTGAGTGAGCCAGCTTTACGCCACTTTTAGCAATATTCCAGCAATCGCCTCTTTCGACCAGCATAAGTTGCCGGGGACATATATCCTCACCCGGAATCCCTACTGGTTTGCAATCTACTTGAAAGAAATAAGTATTTTGTTGGCCAGTCTCCTGTAACTTTCTCCTACAGATCTTACCTTTGGTGTGAATCTCTTGAACTCGCTATACCAATTGGGTACAGTGGATAGAGGGCCCACAACAAGGAAGGGGCCGGACACGCCCATGGCAACCAGATGAGCTAAGAGAGCAATGCACTGCACTGTCTTGCCCAGCCCCATCTCGTCAGCCAGGATACCGTTGACACCGTTCTCAAATAAAACCTGCAAGGATCATATTAGAAAAACTTTAGGGATTGGTATTGGAGGTTTAAAGTGTATCACAATATTTTGCAATGTACAAGGCTGTATCGCAATAAGTATCACTATATATTGTATAATTCCAAATGTTTAATTCAGGATCAATCGGATACATTAAGGTATGAACTGAAGTTGATAAATGGAACAAAACAAGATGCTGGTACAACATAATGTTTACTCAGTCAATAAATACACAGCCATATTGGGGCCCTGGATGCTCGCTCCTGGGCAGCGAAGACATTTGGCAAGTATACAACATTAAGCACTTAGTAAAAATCCCAATTTGAAATCACCCGATATATCAAGCATTAAAAAATTATATTGCTGCATATCATGGAAATAATACACGTCAATTTACCGATATACCAGTAATACCTCACACCCTTAGAAAAAATACATTCATTATCATATTTGTAACGAGTTAAACCAAAAATAGACTCCAGTCATTTTTGTTCTTTACATATTGGTTGTTTAAAGCAGCACTCTGCAATATTCCAGCTGTATGACGGCAGTGTGTAAATAAAATCATCTGAACCAGGCGATTCAGCGATTGACATGAAGAGCATCTATCTACACAATTGAGTGAGTGAGTGAGTTTGGTTTTAAGCCCCTTTTAGCAATATTCCAGCAATATCACGGTGGGGTACACCCGAAATGGGCCTCACACATTGCACCCATGTCGAGAATCGAACCTGGGTCTTCGGCGTGACGAGCGAACGGTTTAACCTCTAGGCTTTCCGACCAGGTCAGTGAGCCTGACCACCCGATCCTGTTAATCACATCTTATGACAATCTTTGGTTGTTGAAGACAGAAAATAACCCGGATTTTCAAGGGGTTATTTTTTTCTAGAGTTCTGACAAGCTACAGTGTAACTCGAAAAACTTATAAAGAAGAAGAAAATTTTTGTCCAACTGAAGTTATACAGTCAACCTTTAAAGTGATTCAAGGACATAGGGTAGCACTAGCCACAAGCCAGAGTCTATCTACTGTTAAAGGTATCCTGACGCAAATTATTATCACAATGCAGGCTAGTAAACATCATCAATGTTTCAGGTAAAGTTGCATTCTTGGGGATTTCAAATGAGATGTAGTTCATATTAAAGTTCCCCAAATACAAAAGGAAGCAGTTCCACGGTTGGCATAGAATCAGGAAAATATAGAGCCTTGTTCAAAAAGCTTATCTTAAAAACCTTCACTGATGTGAAGTGCATCTTTCCATGTTTTTGTATGAAAACACATACCTCACAACTAACCAGATCATCATGGACACGTATGTACAGGTTCTAATATACTACTCAAAAGAAGTTAAGGTACACCTGATTATTTATCTGACTATGACTATAGGCCGTGGCAGATTAACCAATCTGTTCTGGTGTTTTTTAACTCCTTTTGAGTACATATTGCAACAAGAGAGGCCAGTGGTGAAAAACAGTGGTATATGAAAACCAATACCAAAAACATCATTCAGGGTTGGTACAGATATGTCCTCAACAATTTCAAGGCCTTTTCAACGCTTTTTCGAGGCACTTTCCGTCAAATTCAAGGCAAATAAGTAACACAAGCAAGACGCAAACACTCAGGGCCATGACATTAGGGAAGTAACTCATCCTGGATTGCTGTCACACTCATTTGGTAAAACACAAGTAATTCAAGCAATCATGTGTCGATCTTGCAAACAAGGTATAAAAAATCAGCTCCTTATCACACAGTCTTATCACATTCACAGGCAAGTTTGTATTCCAAACAAGAGGACTAAGTCATCACTATCACCCTAGTGAACATGTCAACTAATTATAAATATACTTTGTTGCCATGATAAATAAAATAAAAAAAAATTCAAAAGTACAAAACTATCAAAAGGCACCAGTTCACTGTGGGACCTATCTGTGTGACAAGTTTGATAACAAATATTGCACAGATTTCCAAATCTGCTCCGGAAACAAGCAATACCACCATTCCAGCCTAAGCAAAACTTGTTGCCATGGAAACTCGAAAATAAAATAAAATGAAAAACTTGAAATCCTAAACTATCAAAATGCACCAGTTCACCACTAGACCTATCTATGTCCCAAGTTTGGTGTTGAAATTGTACGGTTTTTTTCAGATCCGCCATTTCCAGCCTTGTCTAACTTGCTGGCATGGAAACACGAAAAATATATTTTCCGAAAATCCAAATCTATCAAAAGTCACCAGTTCACCACTAGACACATCTATGTGACAATTTTGGTGAAGAAATATTGTATGGTTTTCCAGATAACCTCTGGAAACAAGCACTACCGCCATTTCCAGCTTAAGTCAAACTTGTTGCCATGGAAACTTGAAAAACAAAATTCTCAAAAATCCCAAACTATCAAAAGTTCCCAGTTCACCATTAGACCTTTCAATGTGCAGAAATATTGTAAGGTTTTCAAGTTATGCTCTGAAAATGAGCAGTACTGCCAGTGCCAGCCTAAGTCAAACTTGTTGCCATGGAAACTCTAAAAAAAATTTTTTTTCTAAAATCCCAAACCATCAAAAGGCAACAGTTCACCACTAGACCTATCTATGTGCCGAGTTTGGTGAAGAAATACTATTTCAAGATCTGCTCCGGAAACAACATCTTGCACAGACACACGGACTGACAGTGTCCATTTTATTACCCCCTATAAAATGCTAAAAATCAAGCCCTTTTCAAGCCCTGTCTGCACCCTGTCTTTCAAGAAAGAGAGAGTGATTATTGGTTTACACTGAGGCAGCAAGTATGCAGCTATTGATGCTGTGTTGCTCACCTTGAGCCAGTTGTATCCATTCATCTGATACTGCCGAAGTACTCCGCCACTGAACATCAACGGCTGACCAGCCAGGGCTTCTTGTCCGCCTATCATTCTCCGCGGAATCGGCAGCTGCACAAAATAACACATACAAAATACATTTCTACTTGAATATTGGTTACTTTGTTTTCTGTTGCTATAAGCACAGGGATTATTGAGACCTGACAAAACATATATTCGGCCCCAAATCTGCAGTAAATGTCAATAGAAATCCCAACATTGGAATCAAAATTTCCCAAGTAATGCTGTTACATTTACAACTAAATAAAAGTGACAAAACCCCTTCCATAGCCACAAAAAAATCTCGGCTAAACCCAGAGTCCATTGTACGATTCAGAAAATATCATAAGCCTGTGGTTATGAATCATATCTTATTTACAAGTTTATAACTAATGTTATGGCTTTGAAAAATGACTTGTATTTCTCTGATAAAGGGACATATATGGAAAAAGAGGCTTCAATGCTTAGGCTAAAATCTTTTTTAAAAATCTTGGTTCTCAGGCACTGCCCACTTCAAGTCCGCTGCATGTTTCATTTTTATTTCCGTTTTTAAAAAAACCCTAAAAATCTTTAAATATTCCAAATCCAACAGTAGCCAAATACTGTATTCCACTATTTTACTCATCAAGGAATACATTTATGTAGGGAGGCACTTTCCCTGGTTGATTGTACAAAACTTTTATTTGGTTACAAAACTGCTTATTAGGTTACATACTGGTTTGAACACCCCCCCCCTTTCCTCCCCAAAACAAGACACCGCCCGAGCGCACTATATTTTCAAAAAACATTGCCCAAGAACCAATTCTTTTATTCTATTAAGCCTTTGTTTAATATCATTGTATTTAATGTTGAAATACCTTTGAATTCAAGAAAAGAACCTTTTAAAAAATATCCTATTTTTGAACAAAATAATGATATTTCCCAAGTTGCCTGCCAAGGGCACTTAGATTGGAATCTGTGATGCAATAGTCCTGCTATGTTCTTTGATGAACATGACACAAATTATGCACATGATCATACAGAAAAGTGTTCCAAATTCCTTGCAACAGGGAGGTTAAAATCATTATGGTTAGAATAATGTCTCAAGCCTCAACACGTTATCAAACATTTTATTTGAAATATCCTATCATAATGAAATACGACTCAGACCTTGAGTCACTCATTAAATGAATTGCTGAATCTCTGCCCCTACTCCCACATGGTGTATTGTCTCTAGACATCAGACAAATCTTATTACCCCCTCTTCTCAGTCGTTGAAGGAATGAGAATTTTGTTTAATTTAAAAAGTGCACTGAAAGTCTGACTAGGAACTATAATGCATAGATTGTAATGGCATGTACAGTAAACTACTGACTAGGAACTATAATGCATAGATTGTAATGGCATGTACAGTAAACTACTGACTAGGAACTATAATGCATAGATTGTAATGGCATGAACAGTAAACTACTGACTAGGAACTATAATGCATAGATTGTGATGGCATGTACAGTAAACTACTGACTAGGAACTATAATGCATAGATTGTGATGGCATGTACAGTAAACTACTGACTAGGAACTATAATGCATAGATTGTAATGGCATGTACAGTAAACTACTAACTAGGAACTATAATGCATAGATTGTGATGGCATGTACAGTAAACTACTGACTAGGAACTATAATGCATAGATTGTGATGGCATGTACAGTAAACTACTGACTAGGAACTATAATGCATAGATTGTAATGGCATGTACAGTAAACTACTGACTAGGAACTATAATGCATAGATTGTAATGGCATGTACAGTAAACTACTGACTAGGAACTATAATGCATAGATTGTGACGGCATGTACAGTAAACTACTGACTAGGAACTATAATGCATAGATTGTAATGGCATGTACAGTAAACTACTGACTAGGAACTATAATGCATAGATTGTAATGGCATGTACAGTAAACTACGTTTATAACAAACACACTTATAACGAACTTACTGATATAACAAACAAAAAATTTAGTCCCGGACATTTGTTGTATACTACACAAAAGAAGTTAAGGATCACCTGATTCTTTCATATTACAATATTTAATCTCTCATGCCATGACAGATTAACTTTACCAATATGAAAGAATCGGGTGATCCTTAACTTCTTTTGAGTAGTATATATATGCTGGATACATGCTTATAACGAACTACGGTTATTACGAACTAAAATTAGTGGTCACTTTGAGTTCGTTATAACCGTAGTTTACTGTATCTCAATAATTACCTTGATGTAACAAGATCCATGAAAAATTTGTATTCCTAATTCTCTACACCTTCAGATGTATGGCCAATTGTCTTCAGACACAAGACAAATATTCCTACCTCCTCTTCATTGTCTTCCCCCACTTCCTCCGTTGTTGAACTTCCTGGACCCGCCTTCTCTGTGGTATCCTCTGTTGTTGCAATCGCGGTCCGATCACTTGTCTCTGTTGTTTTCTGTCCTGCTTTAACAGAGGGTTCTTCTTGAGTGTTATCACTTGTTGCAGAGTTTTCCTTGTCCTCACTTGGTGTTGCAGTAGTTTGCTCCGTCTTCGTGTTTCTCTTGGATTTTTTCCCAGGGGTCTAAGAAAGATACAAAACAAGTTATCACCTTTGTCGTATCACTGAAAGTCAGTCATCAAGTTTACATTAAATTTTACAAAATATTTGTTAATATTGTTTTTTCCCTGATTGATCGAATAAAAATAGAACAATTGCTATGACAACTGATTATTTATCTAAGTACATAATCCTACTTTTGTTGAGCTGACAGGTTCTGGAGCCATCAGGTCTGATTTTCTTTTTCTCGACCTCCTGGTAGATGTCTCTGAAACTGGAAACGGAAGTGTTTTCACTAGAAGTTGTTTTTTGTTTTTTTTGTTTAATGCCGCACTCAGCACTATATTCCAGCAATATGATAGCGGTCTGTAAATAATCGAGCCTGGACCAGACGATCCAGTGATAGACATCATGAACATCGATCCATGCAATTGGGATCGATGACATGCATCAACCAAGTCAGCAAACCTGACCAACCGATCCCGTAGTCGCCTTTTGCGACAAGCATAGTCACCTTTTACGGCAAGCATGGGTTGCTGAAGACCTGTTCTACCCCGGATCTTCACGGGTCACAGCAATTCATTTGGTATATGTGTGCCAACATCACTGTAATTGGTCAGGGTACGATGACATGCAGTCATCCAGATCACCGACCCTGACCTTGCTTCTTACAACAGCATAGTTAGCCTCGACTCCCTTGATGGGACAGTGGCTGACTCACCAAAAGTCAAACTCACCATCACTGGACTGACTGCTGGATTCCACCGCCTCCTGTTCCTGTAATGTAAGCGTAAAGAGGAGACTTAGTTCAACAAAACATTCATTGGAATAAACAAAATATTACACTAGTGTAAACATATAGGCATGCATTTCCGTTAAGTAATAATACAAAAGTTAACTTCATTTTCAAACGAAATCAGGACAGTGATTTCATTTAACCATTTATTTCGCCCCGCATGTTAAATTTCTGCAGTGTATATGACAAATTCTGCAGCAGAAAACTGGAACATTCTGCGCAAGTTCTTCAGGAAATGTGATTTTCTCAGTCTGTGCCCAAAGTATTTGAGTCTAGTAGTCTGAATTTCTATTTTGGTATTATATTCAATAGATATTGGGCAAGGTATATGGACTAGTTCAAACACATCTTACTGGACCAGAAGTAATTTTAGTAGACAGGGGCTTTGGACTAGTGGATAAAGTCGCAGACTGTTTTTTGAGACCGCAGAATACAGCAGGGACTGACCATGGCAGACAGTGTGGTTTCTACAGTGTCGGACTTCACAGCGTTCACCAGAACATTGATGTAAATAGTACAGAGCAACTTGTTCATGATCAGAGCTCAGTTCACATAACAGAGCATGGTATGGAAAGAAAGCACAGAGCCCAATTGAAGGAACTTGCACCCGGTGCATGTTGACATGAATATCTAGTTGCTCCGGACATAGCCAGGTTGTAGCCTGGTCCCATATATTTCTTCAAAATTAGCAGGAACTTCAGAGAAACCATAGGAGTGAACAGGTCTGACAAGGTACCAGGAACACAAGCTAAACTTGTTTGTTTGTTTGTTGTTTAACGGTCATCGTAATCATGTGTTCGTTTGTGTTTGTATTTGAATACAGCAACGGGTACTGTGTATCATACCACTGAACTTAATAAATTATTTGGTCAATGTACAAAGATGTTGATGTTTGTAAATCACACGAAGAAAGTTCTTCTGCTTCCTGGGAGTGTGGTTATGTGCAGTATATGGGTACACCCATTCTACAAATAACAACAATTATTGTTTGTTTGTTTGTTTGTTGTTTAACGCTGCACTCAGCAATATTCCAGCTATATGACAGCAGTTTGTAAATAATCGAGTCTGGACCAGACAATCCAGTGATTGATGTCATGAGCAACCATAAGATGACATGCATCAACCAAGTTAGCCAGCCTGACCACCCGATCCGTTAGTCGCCTCTTACAACAAGCAAAGTTGCCTTTTACAGGCAGCAAGGGTTGCTGAAGACCTATTCTACCCCAGATTTTCACGTGTCCACGAACTAAGCACCAACCTTTGTCTGTTGTTCTTTGAGTTTGTCCTCCTTTTTCTTCAGCCTCTTCAACTGTCTTTCCTTTTTCTTCTTCTCTTCCTCTGTCTGTCTGTCCATACGATCTATCAGGTACTGTGTGTACATGTTGCTTTTGCTCAACAAGAACTTCAGACGTTGGTAGCGCTGGTTACGATCTTCATCCGTCATTTGTTTCCAAAGCTGATGACCAAACATAACACACAATCACAAATTACAGAAAGAGACATTGTACATTAGGATTTGGTTGGTTGGTTGGTTTGTTGTTTTACGCCACAGTCAGCAATATTCCAGCTATATGACGGCGGTCTGTAAATAATCGAGTCTGGACCAGGCAATCCAGGGATTGATATCATGAGCATCATTTCACGCAATTGGGATACGATGTCATGCATCAACCAAGTCAGCGAGTGTTTGAAATAATTTTAAAACCCAAGAAGACAGTCGCGCAGGTGACCCATAAACGTTGCCTGCCCACATTCAGACATCAGAAATATTGAGAATTTCACGAATAATAAGAGACAAAATGTATCGTGACTCAGTTGAAATAATGCAAACAATTACTTGAGAATATACAAGGCGTTAAAAGACGTAAGTTGTCTTAAAAATAAAATACAGACAGAAGAGTTACCAGCTATATATAGATTCCGTCATGCCCCTAAGGTGTGGATAGTTGCTCACAATATCAATTTATTTATTTATTTATTTATATATAATCGAATCTGGACCGGAAAAAACAGTAATTGATATTGTGAGCAACGATCGACACCTTCGGGGCATGGCGGAATCTGACCACACGATCCATTTGGTGTGTCTTACAACCAGCAGGACCAAAACTAACCTGGAATCCCAATGGGAGACATAATCACATCTGCCCTACCTTTTCCTGATCCTCTGCCAGTTTCTTCTCTTTCTCTATCGCCTGACTCTGGAGCTCTTGTTCCTCCTTGACCATCTCCTCCGTCACAACGCCTTCCCTGATTTCAGGCTTTATCGACAGTGCCTCCGTCACATCTTCCGGCTTTATCGACAGCTCTTCGGTTTTCTAGAAACAGATTTGAACGGAAGGGTATTAGCCAGTCAAAGAAGACTACAAGGCAGGAATTTTATCTGGCATTCTAAACTGAAAAACATCCCTTTGTTCTAAATTTGGACCTTCTTATTGTAATATTTAAAACAAGTATTTGTCACAGAGTGACGAAATATCCCCCGCCATATACACCATAGTACCAAATATGAAGAAAATCCAGCGATTAGTTCTTGAGATATTGTGGCAACACCGTTTTCCAACTCCAAAAACAGATTTGCCTGCTGTGACCTTGAAAATGGGGTCAAGGTCACCAAATCTGACAGGTGTATGCGGTGTCTGTATATACACTATAGTTCCAAATATGAAGACAATCCAGCGATTAGTTCTTGAGATATCGCGGCAACACCGTTTTCCAACTCTAAAAGCAGATTTGCCTGCTGTGACCTTGAAAATGGGATCAAGGTCACCAAATCTGACAGGTGTATGCGGTGTCTGTATATACACCATAGTTCCAAATATGAAGACAATCGAGAGGTTTAGTTCTTGAGATATCGCGGCAACACCGTTTTCCAACTCTAAAAGCAGATTTGCCTGCTGTGACCTTGAAAATGGGGTCAAGGTCACCAAAACCGACTGGTGTCTGCGGTGTCTGTATATACACCATAGTTCCAAATATGAAGACAATCCAGTGTTTAGTTCTTGAGATATCGCAGCAACACCGTTTTCCAACTCTAAAAGCAGATTTGTCTGCTGTGACCTTGAAAATGGGATCAAGGTCACCAAAACCGACTGGTGTCTGCGGAGTCTGTATATACACCATAGTTCCAAATATGAAGACAATCCAGTGTTTAGTTCTTGAGATATCGCGGCAACACCGTTTTCCAACTCTAAAAGCAGATTTGTCTGCTGTGACCTTGAAAATGGGATCAAGGTCACCAAAACCGACTGGTGTCTGCGGAGTCTGTATATACACCATAGTTCCAAATATGAAGACAATCCAGTGTTTAGTTCTTGAGATATCGTGGCAACACTGTTTTCCAACTCTAAAAGCAGATATGCCTGCTGTGACCTTTAAAATGGGGTCAATGTCACCAAAACTGACTGGTGTCTGCGGAGTCTGTATATACACTATAGTTCCAAATATGAAGACAATCCAGCGATTAGTTCTTGAGATATCGCGGCAACACCGTTTTCTAACTCCAAAAGCAGATTTGCCTGCTGTGACCTTGAAAATGGGGTCAAGGTCACCAAAACCGACTGGTGTCTGTGGTGTCTGTATATACACCATAGTTCCAAATATGAAGACAATCGAGAGGTTTAGTTCTTGAGATATCGCGGCAACACCGTTTTCCAACTCTAAAAGCAGATTTGCCTGCTGTGACCTTGAAAATGGGATCAAGGTCACCAAAACCGACTGGTGTCTGCGGAGTCTGTATATACACTATAGTTCCAAATATGAAGACAATCCAGTGTATAGTTCTTGAGATATCGCGGCAACAAACAGGTGGGACGTACGGACGGACGGACGGACGTACGGACGGTCGTGAATACTATATCCCCCGCTTCGCGCTTTCGCGCGGCGGGGGATAACAACACAAAAAGCCAAACTTGACATTAAGTCTCTTGTTTATTGGTTGTCTGATCATCAAAGTGCAAATGACCTAACATTACGATATCAACATAACTTGACAATATGTCACTGGATTGTCTGATCCAGACTTGATTATTTACAGACAGGGATTGGGATACGATGACATGCATCAACCAAGTCAGCGAGGAAGACCACCCGATCCCATTAGTCGTCTCTTACGACAAGCACAGTCACCATTTACATAAAGTATGGGATACTTAAGACCTATTCTACCCTGAATCTTCACGGGTCGCTCATGTTGCGAAATGGTCGGGATCTTATCATAGACCATTGGTCATAATCATTTTGTCACAAAATATTCCAAGATATTCTGTAACATGAACTTGGGCTGAGCTTGCGAAGGCTGCTTCAAAATAAACATCAGATTAGGACTGGCTATCAATATAGATTACAGAGATCGATGATCACTTGCTAAATATCAATCAATTATCGATAAAGATCGGAGGAGTAACTTTAAGCAAATAAGTCAAAACAATATCAACATATTTCACACAACTGGTGAGCAGTGACACATTTATACATAGATTATTTTGTAAAGATTTGAGATATAACAGAAGCAGGTGCTTCAGTCTTCGACAATTGACATTATTGACAATAACAAGTCTGTTTCAGTAAATCTAAACTTTATTTCATCACAATATTTTATAGAAGTTATTATCAATGACAACAATTTCATATCTAAAATAGTTAATAGTTCTTCCCATCTACGATAATTCTGATTATCGATCTCTTCAGCCAGCCCTACATCGGACTACATTATATAGATACAGTGGAGGAAATCGTTGCTTTGTATTGGTAAACAGTAGGGCTGGGACGAGTCCAAATCTACTACCCGGGTATCCGACCCCCTATTACCCGACCCTACCCGGGTACCCGCTGCAGGTCACAAGAGTTGGGAACAAGATGTCTGATCGGGAATTGTTTCACCGCAGCCCAGGCAGTAACTATTTATACATGTATTAAACGATCTGATCATGCGTACACAGAAGTTGACTGAAGCGTTATCTTTACTCAAACATGTGCAAGTCAAAAGGAATAGATGGATCGTCAGAAAGAAGTGTAACCACAAAGTTATAGTGAGTTTTTTTCACCAAACAATAAGTCACATGACTAACCACGGGTCCATGTAGTCCTGTGGGTACCCGGGTCCTACCCCACCCAACCTGAGTACCTGAGTTACCTGTCCCAGCCCTAGAAAACAGTAAATGTCTCATAGCAAAAGAAGAGCAGGACATCGACACCATGGCACAGCTAACCAGGGATCAGTTCAATCTCAATAAAATCAGATCTTAGTTTTTGCTACCAGTAAACAAAGATCTGAGCACATCCCATTACGGGTCACGTCAGAACGACCTTTCATGACCGACCAATGAAATGACTGACAAGAAATCGACATTAGCCAATAAGAACGCAACTTTCTCGAGCTTCACAACACTAGTTTCAAACTGGCGACTACGCTTTGAAACATATTTTGACGTATTCTCGATTAAAAATTTCAAAACTGACCGAAACAACATTCTGGAATGGCTTATAGATGGCCTAGATTGTATGGATGTAATCATAAAACTCGTATCTGTCATTCGGAATACCCTCTGTTAAATATTTCGAGGTTGCATGATGAGAAAACATATTCCGACTATCACTTTCATGATCTGGTAAGCGACGCTCTGACTGGTTGGATGAAAGGTCGTTGTGACGTGACCCATAATGGGATGTCCTCAGATGTTTGTTTAGCGGTAGCGAGAACTAAGATCTGATTTTAATGAGATTGGTATCAGTTCGACCCAGAATCCCCCAGGGCACAGAACCCTTTCACGTACCACAGTTGAGTCTCCTCCACTGTCAGCCATCTCTGTCCTGGGCTCCATCTTTACAAGAATCTTCGTCACATCCTCTGGCAAACAAACAAAGAAGACATGTAACCACGATCATAGCTTCATGTGGCTAACCCCAGGGTTAGATCTAGGCTGTGTTTCTGTATCATTGACAAATTATTGTAATAATTAACGCATCAAAACTGGATATCGTGGGCCCTTGGGCGCACAACATAAGTGTGATGGCAAATCCATTTTACACAATCACATGTGTGACATACCCCAGTGTTCCCCTTTACCGGTAATTACCAGTTTTTTACCCGAAAAATTTGGCTAGGACCGGTAATGCATGTGACTGCCAGTCCCTGTGGACTAGCAAATAGAGTACCTTATAAATATTTGTTGTTGAACAAAATAATCGGCGATATTCATATAAGCATATTTTTCGAAGAATGTATGTTACCTTCAGGGTTTCCCCTTGTATATTTTCAGTGCAAGGAAATAACATTTTGCGTTGATTCTAGGTTACATATATATATTTGTAGCGACTTACTCTTGAAATACAAAAAATAAGAGGAGAAAATAGTGACTGAACTTTGTGTGAATGACGTGTAGAGCTAACTAAATTACTTCAGAGATGTCATGTTGAATGAATTAAAACTAGGTAATTTTTATATGTTTTTGTTTAATTGTTGAAAGTTGGGACTGACACAAATTAGGAGGGGACTGGTAATTTTTAGTGAGGTGAGGTGAAATGGGGTTTAACGTCGCGTCCAAGATTATTGCACTTATATAGCGACGTGCATGAACGTGTGTGTGTTTGTGTGGCTGCTTGTACTAGTCCGGACTGATGCCGATTTATAGTGCTAGCTCACTGAGATACCATGCCGCAGTTGAACATGAATACCCCACTCAGACACAGTATACTGACTCCGAGCCGACCAGTCCTTGTTTAGCCCCTTAATGCCGAGCGCCAGACAGGGTAACAACAAGTACCATCTTTTAACGTCTTTTGATATGACGCGGTCGGGGATCGAACCCCGGACCTTCCGCTCTCCGGGCGGACGCTCTACCACTAGACCACGGAGGCGGTCCTAATTTTGAGTGTTGTCAGTCCAACAGGACAGGCAGTTTCAAAAGCCAGTGGGAACACTGCATACCCTCTACGTTAGGCAGTGGGTCTTCCGTCTCCATGGGATCCCGGCCTTCATTAGCCTCCTCCACGGGTACATCTGCCGAGTCTTTGGGTTTAGCTGGAGAGTCGCTGCGCCCGGCAGTCTGAAGAACCTCAACAGCTGACCTAAGTGAGAAGGACAAATGACCATATGAATTCAGAACTAAAAGTAGAAGTACCGTATTCGACGTAATAAGCGCCCCGCTCTAATAAGCGCCCACGGCGATATTTGCTGATATATTGGCTAGTGAACAAGCCCAATTTGCATCCCTTCCGATTGATCAATGTACGCAAGACTTTTTTGTTAGGTACCGTATAATACGCACATGTGTGTTATATGCACCCTTATTTATGGGCAATTGAATTCTGGAAAAATATATCTGTTGTACATAAACATTTCAGGCTGTCAGCATAAACAACGAAATTTATCTTTCAACATGTTCAACTATGGTTTTTTTCACCAAAATAATATTCTAATAAGAGCCCCCTATTTCTAATTTTGAGAGCGCTTATTTCGTCGAATATGGTAGTAGTAGGTCTTCTGCAACCCATGCTTGCCATAAAAGGCGACTATGCTTGTCGCAAGAGGCGACCAACGGGATCAGGTGGTCAGGCTTGCTTACTTGGTTGATGCATGTCATCGTATCCCAATTGCGTGGACTGATGCTCATGAAGTCTTTTTATCATATGGACCACTAGGGATGTCAACATACAGGTGTCACATGGTATGATTCATATCTTGATACAGAAATCACGATACGATATGTATCTCAATACTGCATGTACCAAATTTTTTGTGGAAAACCCAGTCATTAGACTGAGAATAGAGTCCATAGACTCACTCATAATGGTAAAGAAGGACAAGTGACAACTGACTAATACCCATCAACATGACACTGAGTCAAGTCAACTTTTCTGTGTGAGAAAATAACAAGAAACAAAGTTTATGTACAGTATATAGTACTATATACTATTATCACAGGCAGCAAGGAAAAGTTTGTTGATCTTTTTATCCAAAAGACAACCAATTGGCAAGAAAGTTATCAATGGTTATGAGGAATTAAAAAAAAGTTTCTACTTTCTTATTGATGTTGATGCGAGATCAATGGGTACAATCAATGTGGGGTTAAATGTGAAATGATGCCAAATTAAGTATATCGGCATCTGACAAGCATCTGGATAATCTGACCCTACTTGGCTTAAAGCATTGGTAGAATAGGTCCTCAGCAACCCATGCTCGCCATAAAAGGAGACTTTGCTTTTTGCAAAAGGCGACTAACAGGGTCAGGTGGTCAGACTTGCTGACTTGGTTGATGCAACGTCATCATATCCCATTTGGGTGTTCTTGATGTCAATCACTGGATTGTCAGGTCCAGACTTGATTATTTACAGACCGCTGTCATAAAGGTGGAATAATATTGCGGAGTTCTGCGTTAGACAACAAACAATTAAACAAATTTGCCTTCAATGCAGTCATTATGTAGGCATTATTTAGTTTATCTATTTCTTTTATTAGACCCAATAAAGGTGTCCAAATTAAACAACATTTAGAATTTGTTTATTTTTGTTTCATGTTGATTGCAACAATTAATTAAAACCGTACCCAATAGATACAGCATCGTTGAATATTTTATACACTATACTTTGAGTATGTATTTGTTATCAATGCTCCGAACGAAATGAAAGTCACTCTATAGCATATGCTTGCATTTCAAACCTATCTTTCCCATTACAGACGCCACAGGTGTATTGCAGACGAACAAGATATTTGAAAACACCATACTTACATGTTTCAAAAGAAAAATCTCCAACGCGTCTTGGAACGATTGTTGTTGTTTTTATACCGCTAACACAATCATGCAACACGCATTTAGTGCACTATCAGCAGAAACAGTTAGGATGTACAGCTCTGTAAGACATTCATTCCCGCCAAATAGATGGCGCTGTTGGAGGTCAAGGTGGTCGTATGTCAAAGTTCAAACGTATGTTCCGTTTGAGCGATTTGTTTTAGTGCTTTGTTCCCTGTCATTCAAGGGTGAGTGGTAAACCCTTATAATGTTATTTATTTATATTTCTTTACGCCGCATAAGTAATTTTGCAGCTTTTCGCTGTTTTATCTAAATATGTTTCTAAATATGGATTCAGACGCATGACAAGTCAACAGGGAACGTCTGGTGTGCGTCTAAATGGGGATTTATTACAGTCAAAGTCAACTATGCCTGGGTTTTAGCGTAAGACATTTGCATGATTCATTAATATTTGCGTGTGTTGAAAAGTGTCAACTATAACTGGACTCCTGTCTATAAGCGCAATGCTAGCGTTACAAAACTGTTAATTTTGACTGGGCAAACGTCTACATAAGGGGCTAAAAGCGCATAGGGCTGCGTCGAGATCTGCAATTGCATTTGCACAAAACATCATCTCTAAAACCTCACTTGAAAACGGTTTGTAATTAATTGAATCGTCACCAGTGTTTGGGGGGCTAAAGACAGCTTAACACATCGGTCCATCTCCATCCCATGGGATATCTCGGTATGCAAGGGGATGAATCAATATTTGACCTGTATATTCAATATTACTCTCACTATAAAAATGCAAAACCATTAAGAAAATACATGGTCAAATGTAACAAATGTTAAATTTGGGATAACACATTCTGAGTAAAGTACAAATACTATGAATCTGAATGTACTAGAATCTGTACTTTACTCAGAAAGTGTTATCCCAAATATTACACTTATTACCACTCTAACAAGATTCGCTGACTTGGTTGATGCATGTCATCGATACCAATTGTGTGGATCGATGCTCATGATATCAACCACTGGATTGTCTGGTCCAGACTCGATTATTTACAGACCGCCATCATATAGCTGGAATATTGCTGAGTGCGGCGATAAACAACAAACCAACCAATCATCTCACTAGGTTCAAATTGCACTCCACAATATGGTGGCAGTTGTGATCCTCATGTAAACGTTGCTTGATATCATATGTATAGCTAATGCCTGGTCATGTCCATGGTAAGTAATAAATAGGTTGCAAGTGAATCCGTGGCGTTTGATTGGCTAATCAAGCAATACATGCCAAAAATATTGAAATCAGTTCAGAAAAAAACACTTTCTTAAAATCGGCTATCATGTTGTATGACCGGTGAAATCATACACTAAAATCATACAATAATCTCTGCTCAGTTGTAGCCACAGTTATTCTGGACAATCCGAGAAATGTGCAAATCAGATCACCTCATTTTTAGAATTAATGACTTAGCCCGTACCCTTGTGGTTAAAGCGTTCACTCCTCACATCGAAGACCCAGGTTCTATTCCCTACATGGGTACAATGTGTGAAGCCCATTTCGGGTGTCCCCTGTCATGATATTGCCGGAATATTGCTAAAAGCGGCATAAACCCACATTCACTTACTAAGAATGACATATGACCAAGAGCGTGTTACCATCACCTGAGGCTATCATAATGAATTTTTTTCCTGATATAATTAATATATTTACAATGCAGAGGCATACTCATCTAATAATAATCTATGCATGCTATAAATATGAAAATTCCCATGTGCCCAAAGATATACAGTGAACGCACCATTTGATAACATTACACCCATTTTGTTGACATTGAACATTTTCCGGATCACAACAGCCAACAGTCATTGCGCCGATGTGAGTGATCCCATTACTAGACTTTTTTAATTTCAACACATGCAGATTTTAATTCTGTCATGTCATCACAATGACACGGCGCACGTTAACACAGTTCGGCTTCTAACATTACATTTATGTGGATTTAAATCCGCTGAATAACAGAAAAGTTGAGCCGCTTTTTTTCTTGTTTATAACAGTTCGGAGATAGAATGATCACATCTGCCAAACGCAACCACGTGTAAATAGTCCCACATGAATGAAATCTTTCCCAACGCGCGAAACGATGACATTCCGGCGACTTCCTGTGTCGTTTGTAAAGAAAAGCTGATACGGATAGCTAAACGAATAGCTTTTTTCATAATACATTTTGTTATATTTTTTTCAAACGCCGGATATTTGTTTATCATTGAATAAGGGTGAAGCAGGCCTAGCTGTTATTTGACGGTCTCGACAACACGGTTTTTTCACATCATGTGAGCTTTTAAATGGCCATGCATCTTCACAATTTTAATAGTCTATCCATATTTACAATGAACTAAAAAACATAACCTTTTTCCAGATTTCCATAATTATTCTTTAGACGGAATCGGTTAGTTAAACATTTTGTGGAGATTAGGGTTAGAATCAGAGTAACTCGTTATTGGTCAGTAAATAAAAATATATATACCCCCTTTTCTCTACTCATAAAATAGAGGTATATATTTTTATTTACTGACCAATAACGAGTTCCTGTGCCACAACCTCTTCTGGTCGTAAGATGCGACTTGACGGATCGGGTTATCGTGCAGGCTCGGTGACTTGATTGTTTGTTTGTTGTTTAACGCGGTCTGTAAATAATCGAGTCTGGACCAGAAAATCCAGTGGCTGAAATCATGAGCATCGATTGGGATAAGATAACATGCATCAACCAAGTCAGCGATCCTGACCACCCGATCCCGTTAGTCGCCTCTTCCCAGCAAGCATGGATTGCTGAATGTTTGTTTCTTTGTTGTTTAACGCCGCACTCAGCAATATTCCAGCTACGATGTACATGACGGCGGTCTGTAAATAATCGAGTCACATTTCACCTGTATACTGCTCATATTATTATAGTTAATTTGTCATGGCAAGATATTATTTTGTTTGTTTGTTTGTTGTTTAACGCCGCACTCAGCAATATTCCAGTTATATGACGGCAGTCTGTAAATAATCGAGTCTGGACCAGACAATCCAGTGATTGACATCATGAACATCGATCCACGCAATTGGGATCGATGACATGCATCAACCAAGTCAGCGAGCCTGACAACTCAATCGCGTTAGTCGCCTCTTATACGACAAACATGGTCGCCTTTCTACGGCAAGCATTGGTTGCTGAAGACCTATTCTATCCCGGATCTTCACAGGTCTTTTCTAACCATCCTCACGGGTACGGTTACTTGGTTGATTGCGGACTTCGTGGATCGTTGCTCATAATGTCAATCACTGGATGTTTTGGTATAGATTTGATTGTTAATATTGACAGGCCGGAGCCATAAAGTTTAAGTATTGTTGTGCTGCTTTACTGAACAAACAAACACACGTGTTAATATTTACATTGTTACTTGAGTGTAAGGAATACATGTAATAATGATTGCATGCGCCCTGAGGACATTTTGGTGTAATCCAGACAGGATTGTTGACGTGTAATATTTAGTGTTTGTTTGTTTGTTGTTCAACGCCGCACTCAGCAATATTCCTGCTATATTTAAGGTCTGTAAATATAATATATATTGACCTCACAGGATATCGACGTCACATGCTAACACATCTTTAAAAAATAAAATGTTTTAGTCAAGGTATATTAAATCGGGGGGTGGAGGGTTGATACTGATTTTACGAAATTCGTCAGAATTTTGCATTTCACTTGCTTTCATTCGGTAAATTAATTCCGTAAAAATCAGTGTGACACACACTCGTAATAACCAGAGTGAGTGAGTATGGTTTTACGCCGCTTTTAGCAATATTTCAACAATATCACGGCGGGGGGCACCAGAAATGGTTTTCACACATTGTACGAATCCCATTTCTGGTGTCCCCCGTCGTGATATTGCTGGAATATAATAATAACAAGAGTGGCGATTCCGGGTTAGTAGGTCCCAAGCAGCCAATGCTTTTCGTAAGAGGAGACCAAATGTATTGGGCTGTTAGGCTCTGTGACTTGGTTGATGCAAGTCATCGTATCCCAATTACGTAGATTGAAGCCTATGATGGTATCACTGGATTGTCTGGTCCCGACTTGATTATTTGCAGACAGACACATAACGTAGTTGGAATACTGTTGAGCGCGGCGTTAAACAACAGTCAAAAATAAAAAAATCATGCACTAATCTGTATTTATTAACTCGCATATTTTGTACCACCCGGACAAAAAGGTTTTATTCAAAACACTTCACATTAAGAGAATAACCAATGAATTACAGTTTATATCCTGAATGAATAAATGGTGTAATTCCCCCGAGCCTCAATCTCATTAAAATCAGATCTTAGTTCTCGCTACCGCTAAACAAAGATCTGAAGACATCTCGAAAACGTTAAAACGGGGTATTCCGAACGATAGTTACGGGTTTAACGACTGAATCTATACAATCTAGACCATATATTAGCCATTCTAGAACGTTCTTTTGTTCAGGTTTCAAATTTTTACGCGAGAATTTGTCAAAATATATTTCGTAGCGTAGTCGCCAATTTGAAATTAGTGCCGTAAAGCACGAGAAAGCCTCCTTCTGATTGGCTAATGTCGACTTCTTGTCAGTAATTCCATTGGTCGGTCAGAGTTTGCAAAAGGTCGGTCTGACGTGACCCGTAATGGGATGTCCTCAGATCTTTGTTTAGCGGCAGCGAGAACTAAGATCTGATTTTAATGAGATTGACCGAGCCTTTAGCCAGGAACATACAACATTCAATAAGAGGGACAAGTGAGGTGCGTGAAATAGGTTTAACGTCGCGTCCAGGGTTATTGCACTTTAGCGACGTGCATGCACGCTAGCGCGCGTGCGTGCGTGCGTGCGTGCGTGCGTGACTGTTTGTACTAGTCCGGACTGAGGCCAATCTATAGCGCTAGCACACTGAGATACCATACCACAGTTTAACATGAATATCCCACTCAGACGCAGTATACTGACTCCGAGTCCCCGTCCTTGTTTAAGCCCCTTAATGCCTAGCGCCAGACAGGGTAACAACAAGTACCATCTTTTAACGTCTTTTGGTATGAGCCCTGACCTTCCGTTCTCCGGGCGGACGCTCTACCATTCGACCACGGAGGCGGCCCGAGGGAC